GTATACACACACATACATGATACCTTTCTTAGGTTGTTTCAGTGTATGTATACACACACATACATGATACCTTTCTTAGGTTGTTTCAGTGTATGTATACACACACACACATACATGATACCTTTCTTAGGTTGTTTCAGTGTATGTATACACACACACACATACATGATACCTTTCTTACGTTGTTTCAGTGTATGTATACACACACACACATACATATCCTTCTTACGTTGTTTATGTTTATATATACATACATATACATATCCTTCTTACGTTGTTTATGTTTATATATACATACACAATACATATCCTTCTTACATTGTTTATGTGTATATATACATACACACACACATACATATCCTTCTTACGTTGTTTAAGTTTATATATACATACACACACTCTCACGTGACTGAACAAGTTTCGTTAATACGTATGTAATGTCCTTCCTTGGGTCAGCGGTAAGCTTACGGACTTACAACGCTAAAATCCGAGGTTCGATTCTCTGCAGTGGATAGATTGCAGATTGTGTACCTTTGCGCTAATAAATCAACAGTAACATACGAAGTGCCTGGTCTCATAGTGTTATTTCTCTCAGATTCAAGTAGAATCTTGTTTTACGATGTTAAAAGGTCCACTAAATCCGTGGCTACATATTTTGTATAGATTACTTACTTGATCCAACCAGTAGGATAACAAGTGATTTTCTTGTTTAATGGGCAGATCACCGTTCCGAAACGAATCGTTAGTTTATAAGATTTGGTAAGTATTTAAGAAGAAAACGATCAGTTTTTGGACGAAACTTTACTCACAGTTAAATATGTCTTAAAAAGAATAACATCAGTACAAACAGTTTATGAACTTTGATATAGCCCCCCCTTAAATAGCTGATACTCAGTGCACTGATTAATGGTGCCTGATAAAAACAGTGTCAGTACTTTTTCAGAATGAAATATTGTATCTTCTTTTTTTCCTGACAGAATAAGGTGTATTTGTATGACAAAGTTTTCAAACCCAACGCCACCCAAGAAAAGGTATACAATGAAGCAGCTAAAGCTATTGTTAAAGGTAAGTATTGTGTTATTCAATTGGATATCTCCTACCTCTGACTCATTTACACGGTATTTGTTAGTGTAACGCTAGCATGACTTTTAGGGTTAGAGTTATCATTAATTGCATCACAAAAATCGTCCGAACTCTCAGAAAAAAAATGAGTCTACTGCAAAATTAAAATTCGTTTATGCACTATTTCGTGGGTTTTGAGCTCTTATGTTTTGTGTCACAGCGATAGTACTCGTACGTCGTAAGTGTTACGTTTGAACGTAAAGAAAAAAAAGTATCTATTTTGTAGTCATACATGTGACTTTACGTTGTAAACAACATTGTTCCTATTTTCATTTCGAAATTATAATTTTGAAGGCCTAGAAATATGTACTATTCGTTTGAAATTTACTTAGTACACTTTCGAGTCTCCTAGCATGCTGTTTATTAAATAGTTTATTTCATAATTCATTCTATATTGAGAAAATGTTGTGCGTCATTTCAGTTCGCAGTAAGTCTGTGGGCTTGTAAGGCTGAAAATCGGAATTCGATACCTGTGGAAGGCCCAACACGGATAGTCCATTGTGTAGCCTTGTGCTTAACTACAAACAAACAAAGGGCCAGGTGGTTAGGGCGCTCGACTCGCAATCTGAGGGTCACGGGTTCGAATCCCCGTTCCACCAAACATGCTCGCCCTTTCAGCCGTTAGGGCGTTATAATGTGACGGTCAATCCCACTATTCGTTGGTAAAAGACTAGCCCAAGAGTTGGC